TGTATATCACACTGATTTTTGTATGCTCAATTATTCTTGGGATGCATCAAGGAATAAATTATACACTTGGTCCTTGTGTACGATCCTTTTAACATGCTATTGAATTTGGTTTGCTGATATTTTGCCAAAAAATTTTGCATACCTATTCTTCAGGGATGTTGGTCTGTTGATTTCTTTTCTTGTATTTTTGTTTGCCTTTGGTATCAGAGTAATGCTGGCCTCGTAAAATGAGTTTGGAAGTGTTATCTCCTCTTCACTTACTTGAAAGAATTTGGGAAGATTTGGCATTAATTCTTCTTTAAATGTTTAGTAGAATTCTTCTGTCAAGTCATGTGGTACTTGGCTATTCTTTGTTGTGAGGTTTTTTATTATTTACCAATATTGATCTCTCATAATCTTTTTTATTTCTATGGCATCTGTTGCAATGTATCCTCTTTCTTTTCTGATTTTATTTATGTAAGTCTTCCCTCCTTTTTCTTAGTCTAGTTAAGGGTTTTTTTCACTTTGTCGATCTTTTCAAAAAATTAACTCTTAGGGTTTTTTTTACTGTTCGTATATTCTCTATCTCATTTATTTATGCTCTAATCTTTATTATTTCTTTCTTTCCACTAACTTTAGGCTTAGTTTATTTATGTTAGTTTGTTAACTAATATTTGCCAGTTCTGCTTAACAAAAGTGTCCTACTAGGTACTTTTGTCCTACATATACCTTCATGCCAGTAAGCTGGACTTCTTACCCATTTAAAAATTGACAATTGTTTGAGATCATTTTACCCCTAAGACTTATAATTATTCGTGAGCACCACATTGGCATTGGACGCTTTAACCAAATACTTGGTTTAATCCCACAGCAGCAGTTCTGTATCCAAGAAAATAGGTGGAAAACCTGACAATCAGGACCCACTTAATATAGAGAGAGTAAATCCTGGAATTGTCCCATACCTTCCTGCCCCTGAAGTGGTCAGGTAAAAATATAGGAAACACTCAATAGAGCTAAGAAGAATGCCAGGAAAAAAGTTAACAAGAAAATTTGATCATTTCCTATCCTTAATCGGTCAGCATCGTTAAAATCATCTTGACCAAAAAATCCACATCTCTTCCAGGAACAAAAGGGTTAGTAGCTTCAGTCTTGGTTTTCATGGCTTTATCATAACTGGGCAGTGTAGCAACCACATTGTAAGATAGGGGCTTTGGAAACTCAGACTCATCCTTGTAGTCAAATGTGCTGCACTCTTTGCAGAGACACTGCTGTGAGATAGAGGAATATCACCTGATGCCTGTTCAGGTTTTCCAGGCTCTTCCTCATTCTGTAAATGTTGGTACCAGCTGCTGCAGGGCAGCTCAACTACCACCAGTGCCACTACAGGCTACAGGGGAGGAGGGCAAGAAAGCAAGCTGAACGGATGCAGACACTGCAGCCTGGGAGTGCTCAGAGGCCAAGGGGATATGCCTCCGGTGGGTCTCAATGGCAGCCACTGCTCCTGGGCAGGATGGTCTCCTCAAGCTGTGAGCACCACCACCTCTGAGATACTTTATTAATTTCCCTTTGGATTTCTTCTTTGACTTACTGGTTTTGCAGGAGTGTGTTGTTTAATTTCCACCTATTTGTGAATTTTACTTTTTGCTATTGATTTTGAGTTTCATTGCATTGTGGTCAGAAAAGCCACTTGGTAAGATTTCAGTTTTCTTAAATTTGTTAAGATTTGTTTTGTGACCTACCATGTCACCTACCCAGGAGGATATTTCTTGTGTGCTTGAGAAGAATGTGTATTCTGCTCCTGTTGGGTGGAATATTCTTTACATGTCTGTTAGGACCCTTTTGTCTGTAGTGTTGTGCAAGTTCTCTGTCTCCTTATCTTTTGTCTGGTTATTCTATTAATTAGTGAAAGTGGATAATTTAAATCTAGTATAATTGTATTGCTGTCTATCCCTTCAGTTCTGTCAACGTTTGCTTTATATTATTGGGCATTCTGATGTTGGGTGAATATATATTTATGATTGTAATATCTTCCTTGTCACTTGACCTTTTTATCATTATATAATGTCCTCCTTTGCCTCTTGTTAGTATTTCATTTAAAATCACTTTGCTGCTATAAGTATGACCACACCTGCTCTCTTTTGGTTACCATTTGCATGGAATGTTTTTTTTTTCTATCCTTTTGCTTTTGCCCCATTTGTG